GTTTGAGTACGAAAAAAAATAGCTTCAAGCAATTCGATTGATTGGAAAGCAGATTTGAAAGGATTTGTCATTGTAGAATGGACCCGATTTGGGCGCCGATGGCTGAAATTGCTCGTTTTCCATAGACTTGGCGATGTTCGAAGTCGATCATCATCATCATCATCCTTATTTCAGCCCCTCCGCTAGAGTCCACAGCTGGGCTGGTCTAAATCTTGATTCCGTGGTGTCTTAGTGGTTCGGGCTCACACTTGTAATTCAGTCTATTAACTGAATAGCATCTAGGACGACTCGAAACGAAGGAATGAATGACGCAGCTTGCTAAAGTACACTATAACCGATAGCTCCTGGTTGCGTCTCTCAAGAAATGATCGGATTCGACCGAAGAACAGCCAAAATATTCACTGAGGCTTGAGTTCATTGCAGCTGGGATTCTCGCTGAGTGCCCCATTTCCACAATTTTTCACACCTGTGCACAATCCATTGAGTCAGTTAGGTATATTGTGCTACCATTCACCGGCCAACAAGGCTTTCCATGCCTCTGCAATGAGCTTCTCACGGGTTTTGACGAAATCTCAAGCAAAATGGCGTTTAAATAGCGCAGCAGGTATCAACAATGGATCTTACCTAAGCAGATATTCCGTGTTAGTGTTCTCGATTCAATGGATTATGGCTTATTCTGTGATTTCGACTATACAACCACCTTTATCTAATTGGAGATGACCTTCAGCCCTGAACTTCCGCCATTTCAAGTTTGCCCAGCATCTGGCCAAATAACTCGGAAACTAACCCTAATTATTGGTGGACCGACGTATTTGGAATATGGGATCGTTGGTGCATTCCCATGTTGTTTTCTAGGCGAAATGACTGCATCGATGACACATTTTGTGATATTACGGTAGGTCGGGGGCTGTCGGTATCCGAGCCATTTACGATCTTAGATGGCCGCGGGGGGAGGGAGAGGATGGGATTGCGCAACTTGTGGATCCCTATTTTTGTTGCTAGGGCATTTGCGCAACGGTAAGGCAACAACTGTTGTTCGCACGTGCGCGTCAGCGGCCTGCCCCAAGCGCGCCCCTGATTGGCTGACAGGCCGGGCAGTACGTGCGCACTCCCAAGACGTGAACGCACGCGTGATTACGGGCTTCCAAACGTATGTGTGTTCGCATGCGCGCAAGCGCGCGCACACACGTACGCACACACGTACGCACACACGCACGCACGCAAATTCATGCTTTTATTTATCAAATATATATTCTTGCGGCGACGCGACGCGGCGGCACTTTTGAGAACTCACGCGGGTGAAAATTAATTAACGCTGGTTCTTTACAATTCCATCCACACACACACGCGCACGCACACACAGCACCTCCAACGGTTCGGCGAGAATGAGCGAAGCTCTCGACTTAAGCGTCAACTCACCGTCAGCACAGGATCCGAGTCCACTTCACGATCGAAGACGACGATTGGACCAGGTGGACGCCAGTCCCACTCCAGACCTCCTTGTGCCCTTCCCTTGTGGAGCGGAATTCCTTCAAAAATGCGCAAAATCCTTCGGTCACCTGCCCCCACCGCCGCCGCCGCCTCCATGTAAGTGCGACAACTTCTCCTAATTCAATGTCCGCTTTGTCATTTTCGTGGTTCAACACGACTCGGTCAAAAGTAGTAGGCCATTGAAGTCCTAGTCGCTAAGTCATTCATGCTAGCAGCGCCTCTGTTGATTCGGGTGTGTGCGTGCAGAGACGGCCACTGCGATCTGTTTCGAAGGTCAATCAGCGTCTCGGAATCTGAGGCCCATCTAACCAAAATTACGGTCACCACCGTCCCACGAATTTGCATTGAGTTCCTCCCACTGGCACATTTCCTTTCTGCTATCCTCGTAGTTAAGTTAATTCGACGTGTGTTTGCAAGCATACTTGCGATTCAACAGATGTGGTAGATGAAATATTTCCCTAGACGATACATCGAAATCGAATCCTTCACCTTAGAGGGATCTTTGAAAGAGAGACAAAGAGAGAGAGGGAGAGAGCATGCTCTGTCCAGCACATGGGACTCATCAAATGAAACCGACAGCGTGTCTTTATTCCACTTCAATATCCAAGTCTCCCACCCCCACCCCCACCCCGCCCCGATATGGGAATACCCATCCGTCCGGGAATTGGGAACATAGTGGTAGTAAATTTGTCATACAACGCGGAAAAGCTGCTGCGCACATTTGGCTGGGATAGGGGGACTCAGAGTGTTGGGTAAATCTATTACCCTCGATAAAGCGATCGTCTTCCAGATGGTGTGAGTCCGTAAACATGCGGGTACCTCACGTACATGGTGTCGTCGCGGTTTCCCTGGCTGGTGGGGGCGATGTACCTGGGCCGGGGTGAGTCCACATTGATTGTAAATCGGCGTGAGTGGCCACCCGCATGGTGTGCCCTAGACATCCACCGCGACGGCTTGTTCGAGGATCGCTATCAAATAGCCTCAATGATGCAACCTCCGTTGTCTCAAAACGCTTTTCAGCCACCCACACTCACACCTTTTTTTAAACAAAAACTGCTAAGGTCACTAAATAGTGCATGATGTTGGAAAAAAAGCTGAAGTATTATTAGCAAAATGCAGGCATTGTGGACTTTTGTGACTTATTATTATGCAGTCAAGACGGAAAAGAGCTCAAACTGAGCCGGCACGGGGGAGGGCTGGTGGAATGGCATTATTTGCATTTAGCGTTAGTCATAAACCCAGGAATGAATCGGTCCGTTGTCAAGATAAACACGTGGTATCCAGGGGGACGGGTTAGGTATGAGCATAAAGCGCCTTGATTTTAGCATAATCCGCGTTGAAGGGCAATACCATTAATTCACCACCACATTATACATGCCTTCAAGCCTTCTCAGAGGCTGGGAGGCTGCGTAGGACAGGGAAATGTGGTTTCCTTAGCCCCCTGTCAAGATTTGATAGCTGGTGACGGAGCCAACTCCGGCAGACTTGAAGCGGATTCGTCGTCTGTTAGTCATGACTTGGAGGCTGAAGAGTGGCATGGCGCGGTGTTCTTTGTTGACGCACAGACTGCGAGATAAATAAAGCGTTTTGTTTGAGCTATCCGCAAGATGCAGCGAGGCAGACCGGAAGTGGGCTGATTCATGCACCTCTGGCATCGATTCAGCTGCCCGCAGACTTCCGGAGAGGTAGGCTTTTTTGTCTCCTTCTCATCCTTGTTCTTATTCCCCTGCGTCTTGTTGCGGCCCAATTTCCAGA